TAATTAATTAATTTAATTAATTAATTAATTAATTAATTAATTAATTAATTAATTAATTAATTAAAAATAAAATAATCAATTAAAACTTACTGGGGCCTGAAGAGCGCGTGGGCCCAAGTCTCAGTGGTGTAGAAGTAATTTCGGAAATCTTTAATTTGATTTTTTTTGATTTTATTTTTTGCAAAATTAAAAAAAGAAATTGGAAGTCCCAAAAGGCTTTTAAAGGCCATTCCGTTGGCTTTTCGAGACCCTAAAAGGAATTAAAATAATTAAAAAAAAAGAAAAAGAAAATTAAATTCGAAAGAAAGAAAAACTTAATTTAAATCCCAAATTAAAGTGCCAAGATGCGAAAAGAAATAAGCAAAAAGAATAAAGGGGAGAAACAAAAAAAGAAAAAATAAAAAAGAAAAAGAAATAAATTTAAATCCTTTTTTTTATTTTAAAAAAATAAAAAATTAGTTTTTTTTTCGTTTGATAACTTATTTGGCCTGACTACTTTATTAATTAAATAATTGTTTTTATTTATTTATTTATTTATCTGTTTATTATTTATTTATTTGTTTATTTATTTATTTTATTTATATACTTATTTATTTATTTATTTATTTATTTGAACTTGCCCAAATAAAAGATGGAAATAATTCTTTGCAGCTGATCGAGCCGAAAAGAAATATAGTTGCCCCTCGCGATGCTGCTGCTGCTGCTGCTGCTGCTGCTGCTGCTGCTGCTGCTGCTGCTGCTGCTGCTGCTGCTGAAGAAGAACTGGAGGTTATTTGTGCGCAGCTCGCCACGAGTAGCCACTGCCTCCGTGGCCACTTGGCTAGCTAGCTGGCTAGCTAGCTGGCTAGCTAGCTGGCTAGCTAGCTGGGGGTCCCCCTCTGCAGCTTGCTGCTGCTGCTGCTGCTGCTCTTCGTAAGCAGCAAACTGACTCTGCGCAGACACGCACGCAACTTTGCTGCTGCTCCAGCAGCAGCAGCAGCAGCAGCAGCAGCAAAAGCAGCAGCAACAAAAGCAGCAGAAGCAGCAGCAACCAAAAACGAAAGGGCAACAGCAGCAGCAAAAGCAGCAGCAGCAGCAGCGCCAGCAGCAGCAGCAGCAATGAGAGCAGCAACAGCACCGGTGACAGCAGCAGCAGCAGCAGCAGCAGCAGCAGCAGCCTATCAGTGCATTTAAACAGTATCTTTTTATTTATTTTTGATGCAAAAGCTTTACTATTTATTTATTTATTTATTTATTTATTTATTATTTATTTTTTTATTTATTATTTATTTATTTATTTATTTATTTATTTATTATGTATTTATTTATTTATTTGTTTATTTATTTATTTAATCAGCAACTGCTCGCACCACAAAGTCCTCCGTCTCCGGCGTTGCAGGGAAATAAGTATACCTAAGCACAAACCCTAAACCCTAAACCCTAAACCCTAAACCCTAAACCCTAAACCCTAAACCCTAAACCCTGAGCCTTCCTGTGCCTCTAATTTGGCGAAATAAGCCAGCTGCGGTTTACAAATAAATAAACAAATAAACAAATAAGTAAATAAATAAACAAATAAACAAATAAATAAATAAATAAATAAATAAATAAATAAATAAATAAATAAATAATAAATAAATAAATAAAAAGTTTTGCTGCAGCTCACTCGCACAAGCAACCTGTACATACACTCCAGCAGCAGCAAAACAAATTTCCTGGCAAATTTCCTCTGCTGCATTTTGGCAAAGAAAACACCGGCAGCAAACTCAAACGGTCCTCGCTGCTGCTGCTGCTGCTGCTGCTGCTGCTGCTGCTGCAGCTGCTGCTGCTGCTGCTGCTGCTGCTGCTGCTGCTGCAGCTGCTGCTGCTGCTGCTGGTGCAGCTGCTGCAGCTGCTGCTGCTGCTGCTGCTGGTGCAGCTGCTGCTGCTGCTGCTGCCGCTGGTGCAGCTGCTGCTGCTGCTGCTGCTGCTGCTGCTGCTGCTGCTGCCGCTGGTGCAGCTGCTGCTGCTGCTGCTGCTGCTGCCGATGCTGCTGGTCCTGGGAATCTTGATGGTCATGCTGTCTCCGCTGCTGCTGCTGCTGCTGCTGCTGAAGCTGCTGCTGCTGAAGCTGCTGCTGCTGCTTTGTTCAAGACCTTGAATATACTTTTTGATGTTTTCTTCGGGGGGAATTACATGAAAAGACTCAATCTGCAGCAAAAGAAAAAATTAATTTATTTTAAACAATAAAAAGACCATTTATTAATTATTCAGTTTGAACATTTGCTGCTGCTGCTGCTGCTGCTGCGGCTGCTCGAGCTGTTGCTGCTGCGGCTGCTGCACGTGCTGCTGCTGTTGCAGCAGCAGCTGTTGCTGCTGCACTCGCTGCTGCTGCTGCTGCTGCTGCTGCAGCTGCTGCTGCTGCACTCGCTGCTGCTGCTGCAGCAGCAGCTGCTGCTGCTGCTGCTGCACTCGCTGCTGCTGCTGCTGCTGCAGCAGCAGCAGCTGCTGCTGCAGCAACTCTTACCCCCTGCTGCAGCAT